AATAGGAGCTGTTGATGGTCCAAGATGGACATCCAAAAATCATCGCTTACTTTAGCAAAGTCTTGTCGAAACTAGAAAGAAACTATTGTGTTAGTAAGAGAAAATTGCTAGGCGTAGTGAAGGCTCGCGAGCATTTCCATAAATACTTGTATGGCAGAAAGTTTCTTTATCGTACGGATCATGCCGCTCTTAAATGGCTTCTACAATTCCCTTATCCAGAGGGCTAGACGGCAATATGGTTAAAACGATTACAAGAATATGATTACGAGATCGAACACAGGGCTGAAAGAGTTTACTTAAATGCTGATGCTCTTTCGAGACGGCCGTGTGGTGCAAATTGTAATAAATTGTCTTAAATTAGAAGAACTTGCCCCGTGAGATGAACTACCGTCATTCAATATTGACAGCTTTAACAGCTACAAGACGCTAAAGCAGATAATCCACGTATAAAAATAATATTGGATTGAATGCATCAAAGTGAGAGACATACTTAGCAAGATATTAGTGAATGTAGTTCAGAAGTCAAATCTTACTGGAGTCAATGGAATTTCCTAGTGCTAAAAGATAATCTTTTGTATATAACCTTTGAGAACGATGATGGTACAGACAAAGTTCAGACAGTTGCATGACGGTGCATTGGGTGGACACTTTGGTATTACGAAGACTCTGCAGAAGGTTCTGGAACAGTTCTATTGGGTGAACTCTAAAGATGACGTAAGAAGATAATGCCGAAAATGTGAACTGTTGTCAATCATTAATGGTTTAGTCGGTAAAAAGAGGGCACCCTTGAAACAGTACAATGTTGGTAGTCCTATGGAAAGACTAGCAATCGATAGTGCAGGTCCACTTTCAAAGACGAATGATAAAAATAATTTTATTCTCTAGTCATGGATTATTTTACGAAATGGACTGAGGTCTATGCGATACCAAATCAAGAAGCTGTTACCGTTGCAGAGTTACCAAAATAAAATAAAATAAAATAAAGTAAAGTAATATACTAAAGTAAAATACAATAACATATCTTACTGTATAGTAAAGTATTACTATTTTGAATACAGATCTGTACATATTACAAGTCAAGTAAAAGAAATCGAGAAGATTTGACAGGATGTTCTATTTCAGCCTATCTACGGTATACCTATATAAGACTCCAATAAACATGTTTTATTGATAGCCATACTTTACAAATTTCCACTGAGCATGAGGTTTTTTTGGGATTAAATATTTTATTAGATATTTATGTGTTAATCTGCTGTAAAAATATATATGTGTGTTTAAATAATTTTCCTACCATTATACTATTACATTTCTATATAAACTAAACTGAATACTATATTAACTTTTGTGTTAAATGTGATATTGGATCTGTAGATATTTATTCTAAAGTACCCAGTTTAAGTTGTTTAAACGAAGAGATTTGCTGAATTTTACACAACCAAAAAAGAAGATATCGTAAAAAAATATCAAAACTTAATTGTAGGAAATAAAGCACGGCTGAGCGATAATAGGATATACTAAGAAATTATTGGAGTGGAGACCCCCTGAATACAGTAGAAGCCAGGGAAGACCACCGCTGGGACAAAGAAATAACAAACGGAGAATAAACTGAATGCAATTTGCGCAAAATATAATTAGCTGGAAGTGTATGAAGGAGGCTTATGTCGTGGATGCGAAAAACTGCACGATGTTTATGTTGATTATGACAATACTTTCGATAATACCGGGAATAAAATTTAACAGTCTGTGATTATAATGAATTTGTTATATGATAATTTTTTTATGTATATGAAGGCTTTAAAATTAATCTTTAATTAATATGGTAGATTCTTCTAATAATTTAATTTTCTCTATTTTATCAGATGTTCTATTAGGGGATCTAACTCCAGCAGGAAAAGTGGGAAATAAGTCTTTGCAGATGTGCTGGTAGCCAATATATGAGCAAATTATGTGGTTATATTCGTTATTGATTATTGGCGGATATGCTTGGTGCTTGTTTGTCCTAAAAAAAGGAAATGAAGATTTTACTTTATTAAAAATACTGATGTATTTGTTAATGGTTTGGATTTTTTGTAGATTTTAGTATATGACGAATTCTTACCTAAAATGAAAGGTGAGTGTAAAGGTAAAGAGGTAGCGAATTGAGCGTAAATTGGAGAAATTGGAAATTTCATTTTACAAATTATTAGTTTGCAGAGATATGTTGTAAAAGTATCTGTTTGTTAAAGTTTACGAAGAAGTTTACTTCTGGTAGTGAAAAGTCATTGAAAAGAATTAAAGGGGTTTGGGCAGGCTTAACGAATCTATGAATTATTTCTAATAACGAAATAATCTCAACATGGTGTCAACATAAAATCGGTTAATAATATAATGAATTTTGCATATATTTGGAGCAAATTACACAACTCGGTAACAATTTCAGTATTCCAAAAATGAATTACCTATATATTCCTTGAATGTTTTAGTTTTTCATATATTTTTTTTCTTTTTTTATATTGATAAATTATTAAGTTATAATTACAAAGGACACGACAAGTTGTTATAGAAATAGTGTTGTTGCCTAAATGTCTGTCGGTGCGATAACTCTTGAAAGAAACATCACGAAGTCTTGAAATGTATTACATATGTTTCTTTTGAGGTAAAATAGACTGTATTAACAATTCTCCAAAACCCTTTTTTTGTTATTATGACGACTTTTTTATTTGTTTTAAAGGAAAATGTCTAGTGTCTTAGAACTTGCACTAGAAACTGCAAATTCCAGAAGATGAGGGAAGTAGAGAGATTATACTTGGTGTAAGAAGGAAACCCATTAAACTTAACACAATAGGTCGTTTTTTGTATCTTGTTTATATACCTTTTTAACTGACTTTTAAAACTTAGTACGTAGGTTTTTCCTGGTATAATAAAAAACACCCGTTAATTAAGTTTAGTAGATATTTTCTTGTATCATATTCATATCCTTTTCAGACGCCTTTTCATGTAGCAATATTTTAGAATTAATGATGGAAAGTCAGCAACTGATCTGTTTGCTACATATGCTAGCGGCAGCTGTTCATCGGCGAGCAATGGTCGTAGATACTGTTGCTTTAGTTTATAAAAAAATGTTAAAATTAAAAGTGAAATTTGAATTTAAATTTAATGTGTGGAAATTGAATTATAAAATAGTCGTGCCCAGAGCGCCACTTTATTTATACAGTTAAGTAATACTTCACCAAACAAAGAAAAATGAAGACTGCGATTAAATGATTTAACTCTTACTTACCAAAAAAAACTAATATTACCAAAATTGCAAAATTGTAGACTCCAAAATCAAAACACAGATTCAACTAACAAAAGCTTGTTTTATTTAATTTTAATTAAATAGAAATTTAACAAATTATTGAAAAATAGCAAATATTTAATTGAGCCGTAAGTTAAGTACATAAACAAATAATAGTCAATATGACATTGCAAAGTGACCTTCAGATTGAAAGTTTAAAAAAATAACATTTTATAAATGTACTTAGTAATTGGAAAAATATATTAATATTTAAACAATTAAATATATATACCTAACTATGTGAGTTAGTGGTATAGTATTAAAAAAATTATAACTCATTAAATTGATTCTTGAAAAAAAATTATATTATACCTAGTACCTTTTATAGCTATAAGGGTTTACACTTTATTAAAATATTTTATTAAAAATACTTAAAGAAAAAATATTTAAGCCACTATTTGCGGTATATCATAAAACAAAATAACTTTCTGTAAAATATTATCTTTTAAAAAAAAATAAAAAATTGCAAAAAAAAACCTGTTCTCAAGCCTACTATTCCCAAAGCAGCTTAGGTGGTAGAGGTTGATTTGGAGAAGTTTGAAGGAGTCCTGGAGGCAATTTAAAGTTGGAGCAGAGAACAATGGCTCGAACACGAACACATGGCCATGCTTTCAGGAAGCAAAAATCGAGAAGTCTTCTTGGGATTGAAGTGATGTTGGTGGTAACTAACTGATTTTTCCACAGCCCTATTATCGCCGACAAATTGGAGGCATCAGGGACTGTAACTGGTGGTTGGACCCACGTGTAGTTGCACAGGATTCAGGAGCAGAATAAGTTACCCCGAAAATGGTAATTCCTCAAAAAGGAATAGGCTTCCAGCTAGTCCCTATATAAAATTATTTTAGAAAATACTTCTAGGTGAAGACAACAAAAAAAACTTACCCTCTCGAAATTTAGGGGACACAAGGCAACTAAACCCGACAAAAATGCAAAAGCCTTTTCATTTCGGCCATGGCTTAATATAAAGCCAAAAATTTTACCAAAAAATAGGAAGTGATGATTTGATGACTAATGTCAGAGACAAACAGAAGACCAATCTCATAGAGAAAAATTCCCTAGGTTAATTAACAGTCTATGGTAAATTTGGGCCTTAGAACAACGACTTTCTTGAAAAACCGCCTAAATTATAAGCAGACAATCATAGATTCTCGAACAGTGAGACGACCTTACTCGAAGCAATAAACCGAAGACAACAGGTGTTTAACTTCAGATCGATACATTTGTTGACATTTTTCACAAAGTCAAAACAGCTGGCCGAGAACAATAAAACAATTTAACTTTTCGTTGAAAATTAATAATTATGTACACCTTCTACAAAATAGAGAGGCAGAAAGGTAAGTCATTTATTACATGATATTCGACATTACATAATTAACATTAACTTTATTTTCAGATTGGTGAAGATGGATTATATTTTGTTACTAAAAATCAAATTTCAACTACCAGAACCCAGAAACTAGAAGTTTAATCTATAAAATTAAATATATACTTCCATCCATATCTGTACACTAGTTATTTAAATGAATAAAGTATGTTCATGACTACTTAATATTTATTGTGTTTATAGTAAAAACCAGGTAGGCAATTTTTAACTGCTACATTCATAATAAAAGTTAAAAAAATTAAAGTATATTTGATACTATAACAAAAAACACTTTTTATCAGGAATTATAACATTTCTTACCTGTTGTTGGTTTTCTCTTTGAATTTTTAGTCTAGCTTCAATACATTGACGTGTTTCTAAAAAAGCTTTTCTCTGAGCAACTTCCCTGGGATAATGAGTACAGACTCCAGCGATATTTCCACATAGAAGAATAATGAAACAGCTTGTAATCTATAAAATAAATAATCATAAATAATACAAACATGGTTATTAAAAATGTACGCTTTGCTAAAATTTATATTGTTCTGAAGCTATTTTTTTGTGGCATTTTAAATTAATTATTATTTAACTGGAAATAAGCCACAATTAAAGATAAAAATACGTTTATTGACGTTTTAATTTCCACTTCGGAAATCGTTCTCAAAATACAAACAGTAAATTTACTGTTTGTATTTTTTACAAACAGTAATAGTGATTTCTATTACTCTTTATTGACTTTTTAAGACATTAAAATATGTATATACAGGGTGTTTCAAAAAAGGTAACCCCGTCTCTAGGGTAGGTAAAATCTGAAAATAATTGGGGTTTGCTTAGTAAAAAATTTTTGTAACGCCATCCGTTTTCAAGTTACAGGGCGTTGAAGAAAAAAAAATTTACCCATTTTTTACGATTTTGCCGAAACTACTGGCAACAGTGTAATGAAATTTCATACGAATATGTTTTGGAAGCTGATACATCCTATGAATTTGTTTTTATATCTGATTCTTATAGAGGGCACTAGTTACACGGATCGTACTAAGTATTAGTCAATATAACTTTTTTAAGATACTCTTGGTAAAACTCGATACTGTGTACCGTTTTCAGAATATTTTGATTTGAAAATTATGAAGTAGTAGTAGTTGAAGCTGGTATAAAATAGTTAGTAATTAAACAAAACTCACAAGAAGAAAATTAAATTAATGACTAAAAACATAAAATAAAATTCAATTACAGTAAGTGTTCAAAATGCCCTCCGTTTTCGCGAATACACAAGTCTATTCTTTTTTTCTATAGATTCCATTAACCTTCTAAACGGTAGGGGACCAGCAATGATGTCATTAAATTGACGTTGAATTCTTTCTTAAAATTATTAGCGTAAATTTACCTCTGTAGCATAGATTTTTTCCTTAATATACGACCAAACTGCGTGATCCAAAGGGTTCAAATCGCATGACTGAGGAGGCCAATAAATCGGTACTGCTGCACCTCTACCAATCCATCGATTCGGAAAATGATTACTCAATCAATTACGACACCTTCTATCAAAGTGTGGTGGAGCTCCATCGTGCATAAAAAGTAAAGATCTTCGCTCGTTTAGCGTTAAATCTTCTAATACCTCAAATAAGGAATTGTTTAAAACATCAAGATACATATCATCATTTAAATTTCCAAACATTAACTTTACATAAATGAGTATTGGTAATGTGATACCCTTTTGACTCGTGGATTTCTATCACACCAGTAGTATGCATTATAGGAGTTAAACATACTTTGTCACGTAAAGGTGGCCTCGTCCGTAAAAAGAATGCATTTTAAAAAATTTTGATTGTGGGCTGTCCTTTGTTGCAATGCTTCAAAAAAATCCACTTTAGCCGGTAGATCATCTGGCAAGAGCTCTTGGTCTGTTATGATAAGGATGTATTTGTTGTTCTTTCAGTATCCGCCAAGTACTTGAAGAAGAAATATTTGTTTGTCTTGCTATATTCCTTACGATAACTGTTAGATCTTGATTAAGTAAATTTAAAATATTATTTTCTTTATTAATTGTTGTTGTTGTTGTTGTTGGTCTACCAGAATTTATATTATTTGGTCTCACATTCCCAGTTTTTCGACAACGTAGTTCAATGGCTCTAAATGTTTTTTTACTTGGTAAGTTTCTTCTAGGAAACTTTTCTGCATAACGTGTCACAGCTGCACTAGAACATCCTAAACATTCGCCTAAGGTTAATAACATGTCAGTGTATTCAACATTTTAGTACATTTTGATTTGATTTTAAAAATAACAATGTTTCAAAACTCTAATTATTGTTGATTTATCGTCATAACAATTAATAAATGTCAGATTTATATGACACACTTGGAAAAAATAGAGGTATATTAGAACTTTATCATTACTACCAGCATCAATTATTACTTCAGAATTTTCAAATCAAAATAATGTATATAATAATAATATATAATATATATAATATATATATATAATATATATAATATATATATAATATATATAATAAATCCGCAAATGGTACACAGTATCGAGTTTTACCGAGAGTACCTTTTTCGTGTAAAATTGAATAATGCTTAAGTTTGCTTGAAACTTTGATTAATAATTATACTCTTAAAAAAGGTATATTGACTAATATTTAGTACGATCCGTGTAACTAGCGCCCTGTATCAGAATCAGATATAAAAACAAATTCATGGGATGTATCAGCTTCCAAAACATATTCGTATAAAATTTCATTACAATGTTGCCAGTAGTTTCAGCAAAATCGTAAAAAATGCGTAAAATTTTGTTTTCTTCAACGCCCTGTATCTTGAAAACGGATGTCGTTACAAAAATTTTTTACTAAGCAAATCCCAATTATTTTTCAGTTTTTTACCTACACTAGGGACGGGGCTACCTTTTTTTGAAACATCCTGTATATATACAAAATATGTATAACAGTATTATTCTTTTTTTACTTTTATATTATACTTTTTTATAATATTAAACTTTTTTAAGGTATTAAAATATGTATATGTATATACAAAAATATGTATAATAGTATTATTCTTGTTTTAATATTAAATAACACACACGAAACAACACTTCTCAATACGTAAACAAAGTTTGATTTTTATAGGTTGACAGATAAACTATTTAGAACATAGCGGACTCTTACAGAAATTTGGATTGCGAAAAAGCCCTTCGTTTCGCTTTTTGTTGTAGCCGTGAAATCTTAGACTTATGCGCAAGTATAGAAGAAAAAAAATCAACAAAAGCATGGCAATCGACATCATCTCAAGGACCTAGCCCCAAAGAGTGGTCTGTGTTCGAAAATGTCGAACTTGAATTTATTATATCTAAAGAAATATCTGATGACGTAAGCTGAAGTACAATATGCGACTTCCTCCAACCTACTATTTTGGATAATAGAAGTATAGGAGATATTTCTAGTATACTCTTGCCACAAAATAATAATACTAAAAATGCTTGTGGAACTCTCAACCGAGAAGTAAATGATAACAGTCACATTGAACCTCAAAATGTAGAGCTAGAAATCCAATTTAAAGATATTACTTAGTATGATTTTCTCTTTGGATAAATTTCCTTTAGTTGATTTAATGACTGATGACCATCACTGTACCAATGGTCTGGTTTTTGAAGATACTATCAAGCAAAGTTCTTAGCAAAAAAAAACAATACTCCTGTAAATTCTTCTATAAGTACTATCAACCAACCAATTTTTACTAGACCATCCATCCATATAGAAGATATGATACTAGATAAAAGTATGCGAGAAAGTCTGCTAGCATACAAAATCAACTCTGACTCTGAATTTGACTAACTATCCACAGAAAAGCAATAAAAGAAGGAAAATGAGTCATTTTAAAAAATCAACCTGGTATGCTGAAAATAAAAAAAAATTGAGAGAGTATGGAAAAGAATAATATGAAAAAAAAAAAGAAAGAAAGTGAAATTATGAAGTTTCAAGGCAACCTAGAGTTATAGTGTTATAAAAAATAGATGCTCGTGTAAAGAAACACAAAAAGGATCTTTAAAATGTTTAAAGGAATTGAAAAATACGCAATAATTATTAGATCATTTAAAAAAGTTTCAAGCCACCTAGAGTTATAAAGAATCGATGCTCGTGTAAAGAAACGCAAAAACGATTTTTGAAATCTTCAAAGTAATTGAAAAAAAACATTATTATTAAAAAAATCATTATTATAAAAAAAAAGAGGTTAGTCTTCGTAAGTGGGTATATTTATTTAAAAACCCTTAAAAAATGTTTTCGGACTAAACAGTCCATCATCAGGTTTAAAATCACCTAAAATAAGTATAAAGCATTTAGTTAAAACAAACGTGGTTATGAAATTTTGACTATGGTTAAAAAAGCAAAATGGCTATACTTACTAGGTTAAAATGCCTGAGCCACCAAAAATACATGGGTAAAAACCCTTTAAATTACATATAGTTATAAAAGATTATACATCTTGTTGTTAAAAAACTGTGATGTTCATTATTAAGTTAAATATGACTTCAGGTAACATACATTGCAAAAATTGAGTTCCAGAGCTGGGGAGAAAACCTCTACGCACGGAGAACAGCTGGAAACTGATTTACAATATACCTATGAAAGGTGTCAAAAACAAAATGTCAATGTAACATAGAACTATATTAGTTATACCTAGTATTACTACAGCCAAGAGATTCAAAAATTGTGGGATAGGAATAGGTGTTGGGATTTAAAATTTGGGTTATAATCGATGTGAAATCACCAATGGTGTTAAAGTCATGTTTAAGAGGATGACCTGTGTATTAGGCAACCTATGTTGCTTTTTGTCGTATGGAATATGGTCTAAAAGTGTATTTTATGTTAGATTAGCATATATATATATATATATATATATATATATATATATATATATGTTCGGAAAGATTTCCGCGGTTAGTACAATAAAACCTAGAGCTAAGATTAAAATTATTACTAAAATTAATATTAAACTCACCAGTCTTCCGGGTTGAACCGCATCGTAATCCATTTTGCCAAGCTTTCGGCATCCTCTCTGATGCCTTCCTTAGGGCTTCCGAGGTCTCAGTCTCCCGAGCCCCCAGACACTACTACACTGTACACTATTCACGGCACGATCACTACTGTAGTATGTACTTTACTGTACTGTAGTAGGGATCGTGCCGTGAATAGTGAACAGTGTAGTAGTGTCTGGGGGCTCGGGAGGTCTATTTTTATAGATACTGAAATCGAAATGGTCGTTTAATCTGGTAATGGTAAGATCAAGAAAATTAATAGATTGAGACGACTCGAGTTTCATAGTGAACTTGATGTTTATGTGGATTTGATTTATTTTAGAGAGTAACAGGTCAGCTGAATTTGAGTTACCTGATATGAAGACTAAACAGTCATCAACATATCGAAACCAATGGAGAATTTCAGGATTTTTCATAATCTGTGTGGATTCTAAGTGAT